TTCCAGCAGTAACAACTAGGCTGGATAATTCTAAGCTTTTACCTATTCAAAATAGACACCCATCAGTAATTAACTTCAACATTTTCATTTGATGATCTGTCAGATGGATTTATGTCAGTTAAACTGAAACAAGATACATTGGCACTCACATTGTCAACTGGTGAATATGATTTCATGTAAAAGTAGAACTCTTCTTTCCGAGGATCACCCCATTCCTGCAATAGAGCAAGTCATTCACATTTAGAAAGAAACATACTAATATTATCATAGCATCTTGCTTTGAGTTTCCAAAACAAAAAAATATTATATATAAATCACTCCCATTCTGCAGTTGTAAGAGGAATAGTTGGACCAAGCATTGTAGTCACAACATCTACAAATGGTACTCCAACTATAGTAGCCTTAAATAAATCAGGTCTCATGTTCACAACAGCACCAATAAGCAACCCCCTGCACTTCTTCCATTAATGGATAGCTTTTCTTTCGTACAATATTTCTTTTGGTCTGAGAAGTTTGAGTTCCACCTATGTGTTGGGTGATTGAAGGCGATGAGGCTGGTTTTCTTCTTAGAGAGAGGGAGGGAAAGAAAGTAAACACAAACCTCACAGATTAGAGAGGTTATCGAAACCAGTAAGGGGAACACCAATGAAAAATCCAACGAATTATTGAGAGAAAAACTGATTTTTGTTTGTTTAAAAGCTAGCGAAGTATCAAGAAATTTCCAATCCAGGAGAATTCAGAAAGCAGATAGATAGGTACCTGATTTGACTAGAAGCGCAACTGGACTAGGTTTGTAAATTTAAGGAGTCGTTGTAGATGGAGTAGGGTAGAGGTGAAGAGGAGTTCAGTTACGAATTTTATGTTGAGATTATTGTGTCTAAATTTCGCCATAAAGAGACGATCGAGAGAGAATGGTCTTCGATTTTTGGAAGGAAGCGAGGCTGTTACAGAGAGGGGGGATCAGACTCACATGGAGATCTAAGGAGAGAGTGAGCGGTCTTCGATCCGATCGAGAGAGAATCATCGCCATAAAGATACGATCGAGGAAAATCGTCTTGAGAGGGGAAATTATTTGGGAAGAACTTGAAGCATTTGAAACCCTAGACCTTGATTCGATGTAACTTGATAGTGGACATTGTAGATTGATAGATTGAAGACCTGGAGCGATCCCTTGTGAAGAAAGTTGCGTGATTACAGAGAGTCCTTGTTGACCGGATCGGAAGATTCCGTCAATGGCTCTATCGGGTTTGGTTAAATCCCCAGTTTGGAATGCGCTACATCTGGTTCATGAACTTGCCAAGTCAATTAGGGTTTTTTTAATGAAAAATGAAAGGGGTTAATGGATTAGGATGATGTGTACCTGAGAAAACAAAGAAAAGAAGGAGACCTCGCAGATCAATTACGATTCACCTTCGAGGTTTACAGAGAGACGGGAGGTAGAGAATGAAGGGAGATCTAGAGGAGAGAGTATCAGAGAGGGGAGAGTGGATTGCAAGGATGAAAAATAGATAGAAGATAGAAAAAACAAGGGTTTTCAAAATTTTGGGGATTTCGTTTCCCCCTTCATTAACTAAAAGCGCGTTTCATTAAAATTATAAAGCGACATGTACAGACGACGCGCGTTTAAGATAAAGCGCCCTCCGTGTTTCTATTTTTTTTCTTGAGACACTAAATTAAGGGCACGCAATAATGCGTGACGTAAATCCTTAAATTTTTTGGAGAGATAACACTATTTTAAGGGCACGTCCTATTGCGTATCGTTAATCAATACATGTCGTAAAAAGTGCGTCGTTAAAGGTCTTTTTTCTAGTAGTGGGATCTTGAGAGATCGGAGTAAAAGACTAATTGGACTTAGTCAGAGTACCTACTTGGATAAGGTGCTGAAGAGATTCAGCTTGCAGGACTCCAAGAAAGGAGAGTTACCCATCCAGAGTAACGCCAAATTGAGTAAGACACAAAGCCCTAGCACTGAGGCTGAGATAGCAGAAATGAGTCGAATACCTTATGCTTCGGCTGTAGGATCGATCATGTATGCTATGACGTGTACTTGACCTGATGTAGCCTTTGCCCTGAGCATGGTTAGCAGGTTTCAGGGGAACCCTGGCAAGGCACACTGGACTGCGGTAAAGAATATTCTCAAGTACATACGAAGGACTAAGTACTAGGTCCTTACCCTCGGTGGGAGTGATGACTTGAGAGTTGTAG